TTCAAACTCAAAAGATAGATAAAAATGCCCCAAAACCCATTCCCAAGATTTCTTCGACTCAGACTCAACAACTGCAAATGTAATTGCAAAGATGCTATTATTTTCATTCATAGCATTTGCTGAAAGTAACACTCTTAGATATTTTGATTTTAAATGGTATGCATTGAGCCCCACAAGATGTTTGCAACCAACCATAAACCCGTTAATATACACCCTAAAACTAATGTATATTCTCTCAAATGCATGATCAATGCTATTGTAATACAAAATAATGTAAGAACCAGGGTTTCTTTTGACAAGCTCTGCACAGAGTGCAGGCAACAATTTGAAACTATCATCAACTGCTCCATATATTTGATCTCATGTTAAGTACCTCGATCTCCGTACCTTCATATATGGAAGTCATCACCATTACTTATTTTCTAAAGCAAAATTAATTTGTTAAGGAGGCATATTTGGAAAAGTTTTGACTATATCTTGAATTTCAGTGGCCACCCAGATGGATGTAGCTTGTTTGTTACCGACACTATTCACACTTGAGCATAAATGTAAACTTTTGATTTTTCTTATTTCAAATGTATGTCCATCTGGACAAGCCAAAACTCTCACCCTCCATGGACAACCATCGTATGAGCATACTGAAATAACTATTTTTCTATCATTTTTTTAATTTTATTCCAAAATTATTAGAAATGGCTAGTTTCTGAATAAATTGTCTAAAACGAGCCGAATCTTTAAACTGAGTGCCAACCTCTAATGACATATCATTATACATTTTATTTATTGACCATTGATATATTCATCAAGATCATATGTGCATCTGCTAGTACTATATGAGTTTGAATGATAGTGCTCATCTATTTCGTCACCTTGTGACATTGTGAATTTTCAAATTGCCTATATCAATACATAGAAAGAAACTCATGAGAACATGCCTTACATTTTTTACATATTAGTAAATGCTCAACCATATGCAAACAGCTCAATTTCTAACTAATGCAAGATCATCCCAAACCAATACATAGAAAGAAACTCATGAAAACGCCTTATATTCATTACAAAACCCTAAATGTTAAGGAAATTACAATACCAGTTAAGAGATAGTGAACCAATAGAAATATGTAATTACATATTTATATTATATGCAATTACATATAATATACCCTAAACCCTAAACAAGCACACGACAATCATACTGTAGTTATGACTCTTTGTCATCTTGCCTTAAATGCATTTAACCATCACGAGCACAAAAATGTAAGGCATATGTAATTGCATAAGATATATGTAAAGGCTCCAAAAAAATTTCTTCCACTTTCTAAACCCAACAGAAATTTAGATTTAGGTGTGAAATAGGTAATTGCATAGATTTGGGTGCTACCCTTGTAAATTTCCAACAGAAATAAAAAACCAATTTCACCTCTGTGTTGCATATAAATCTGCCGACAGAGTTACAGTGAAATCTCAATGAAAGGGGAAAGAAAGATCAGAGTTTCTGCAAAATTTAAGAGAAAGGGGCACAAATAATCTCGCTTTCAGCAACATTTGCACCACAACACAAGCCTGAAACCCTCGAATGAAACCTACGATGTTCCAATGGGTGAAACCCTCAAATGCAACGATCGACGTGTGGAGGTGTGAGTATTTTTCGCAACTCAAGAGGAGGCTAAAAGGGAGGAGGGTTTTCAAGACTTGATGTTTTACCTTAATGTTTTATTCTCAATTCAAGGTTGCATCCAAGTGTGGGAAAGAGCAGGGGAAGGTGACGACTGGAGGCATTAACGATTGACGACAGGTGATGGGAGGAGACACGGAGGCGACGGAGCGAGACGGGTGAGAGCAGTGTCCATTGGGAGGGGCAAAGACGAGGGATTTAGGGGGTTTGGGTGGCTGGCATGAGTTATAACGGAAAATGGAAGCTATCTTGTTATATTAAAATTTTTAGGGTTTTGGCAAGTAAAAACCCCAACTATCAAATGTAGTGTGCAAAAATGGTTTCAAAGAATTCCATTTATGTAATAATTATGAATTTGGCGTCAACAGAAAGCAGTAATCAAACCATAGCAGTAGATGGAATATTGTTTGTGCAGCAAGGGCAAAAAGCATGCAGTTTTTAAAAAAAAATTAGGAAAGTTATTACTAATAAGTGAAGCTTCGTGGCTTTTAAAAATTCATAGCTCTGCAGAAAGGAGTATGGTTGAAGAGGATACCTTCTTTGATAAAGGGGACCTAAAGGAATTAACCATCAGTATGTAGAGTATTTTATAGCGAAAAATAGAGAAGAAGAATTACCCAGTTATGCAGAAAGAGATCTGAAAGGATGAAGAAGACAGAGAAGTATTAGGATTTTGACTTAATAATTTTACAGGGTTTAAAGCAGATAATTTTAGAATAATTATTAATTGTTATTATTGGATGAAATCCAATTTAAATATTTGTTACAAACTTTGTTAGGATAAGCATTCTATTTAAATTAGGTGATTTTAGAAAAATGATTACTTATTATATTGAATAAAATTAGATAATATATGTTACAAACTTTGTGATTCTGAATATATTCAAGATAAAATAAAGCCTAATTTAGATTTAAAACCCACCTCCCTGTAATTTCTATAGCTTCATTAAGAATTGAACAGCTTGTTGGGCTGCTTTGCGTGATAGTATTTAACTGGTGTTGGTAGATAGAAGAACTAGGGAACAGCGGGATGCCGCTTCAATTATATTTTTTTTATTTATATTATGTAGAGTATGTGAACGACAAGCTAGAGAAGAATAACTACCAAGTTATGGGAAAATATTGAAGAGATCAAGAGGGTAGAGAAGTGTTAGGATTTTGAATCAATAATTTTATCAGGATATGACAAGGTTTAAAATAGGTGGTTTTCAGAATAATTATAGATTATCTTTTTTTCTGGATAATATCTGGCTTGATTAGCTGTTATAAACTTTATTAATTTGGGTAACTTTTTGGTTAAATTTAAAACTTAAATTTGGATGTAAGGTTCACCTCTTTATAAGCTCTATAAATACATTAAGAAATGAATTGGAGAAACAACTGTGCATGTGAGTTTTGGTTGCTTTTAGCGAAATAGAAAACAAAGGGTGGAAGGAAATATTAAAGAGAGAAGCAGTGATAATTATAAAAAAGAATGAAGATATGGACAGTGAAAGAGAAGAGGAAGATAGAGAGAGTTTTTTGTGACTGCAGCAAATTATATTCACAGGGTACAATTTTGATGGCTTCAGAAAGATTTGTGATGATTCCATAACCATATGAAGTTACCATTTTGAGGAATACTTAAGTGGAGAATTTTGTCAATAATGATTATCATCTGCTTAGCTCAAAATTTTGGAGCTAAAATTTTAGTTCGGTTATTGACAACTTGCCTCAAATTTTGGAGCCGAAATTTGTGATTCTCAATTTGGCTACTGGGGCATCTGTTGTTTGCTTTATAAAATTTATACTTTCATCTTGGTGCTTGAGTGATAATTGGATGTGGATCTTTCTTGCGTGGTGCAAGTTGTGACAATAGATTCTTTCAGTCAGTTGTCTCTTTGCATCTCCATGAGGCTTAGATTTTTATTTTATGGCTTCTTTTCCTTGTTGTATTTTAATTTTCTAAAATCAGTGATTGATTTTCTTGAGTAATTTAATATTTTAAATCTATTATAATTTAGATTTTGTAATTGCTGTGTTAGTTTTAATTGAAATTTGAGTTTTATAAGCTCTAGATCTTTGTTTGGTTGTCATTAAATTATCATTTGAACTGTTCTTTGCTCATTTTTTGACTTCCATTAAAAGGGACTTTTTATTTCAAAATTAAAGGTGAACAAACTCTAGATCTTACTGTTATGTTTGTTGGTGATTTATTGCATTTAATTCTAAATTTGTATAGGATAACTAACTGTAAACCCTAATACGTCCTCTTTCTTGATCCTCTTGTATTGGTTGGAAGAGAACGCCTCTGGTCCTTAGCTTTGAAATTTTCCATCATGATTTTTCGTATTGTATGCATGAGTATTTACATTTTGAGTTAGTCTAATTGATAAGATGATTTGACATTTAACTAGATACTTGAAGGTTGTTTGAGATCATTTTTATTTTGTTATTGTTTTGCTTTTATTTGTAAAAGCATGTTTGTTTACTACATTTTTTATATGTTTTTATTTTTTATTTGAAAAAATAAATCATGTTCTTAAAAACATTCAAAATAACTTTTAGGTGTTTAAAGTATTTTTAAAAATATCTAGACATGTCCTAACGAATCAAATATATTTTATTTCAAATCAAAACATTAAAAAAAAAGATTGAAAATAAAAAAAAATGATAAACAAAAAGCAAAAATGATCCCAAACTGCTTCTTAATTTGTTGGAATCATTAGTATTTGATCAATTTAGTAAATAATATTTATAATCATTATGCATATGATTAAATAGATTAAATTGGTCGAAGGTGTATAAGAACAATTAATCTCATATTTAAGTAGTTTATTATTTGAAATGATTATGACTAAATTATATATTCTTAATGAGAATAAATCACTTTTGGATTAATAAATAGGTAATTGATTACACTTGTTTACTATTTAAAGTAAGTTTCCATCCCTTTCAACAAAGAGAAAATCTGCTTAAGAACATTGTCTATTAAAGCAATGTTGAAGATTTGCTTATGTAAGCTTTAAGACATTGCCTTTTTACATGCCCCCCACCCCTACCAAAAAAAAATGTAGAAAAAAATCTCGTGGTCCCTTTCAAATGCTTTTTCGTGGAAGGCTGACAGCTATGTGAAAAACCTGTGGTTTAATTCTTCTAAATCCTGCATGAAAGCCGGTTTGACTTGCTAAATGTTCAGTTGTCTTTGGAAGCACTTCAAATTAAGCAAGTAACTGGCACAATTTTGCATTGAAGGCAGAGTTTCGTTACATCTACTTTTAATTTACAGCCTTATAATCCCTTGGTTGAATCTTGTGACTTGTTCTGATGTATCCCTGATTGGTAGGTATTTGCTATGTCCATTCTTGGGATCCTTCCCCTTGTACCAAAAAGTCTTGCAGGCAAAGCATATTTGTTATCTTTGCTGGGAGCTGCCTTTTCCTCACTGTTTTCCTTGTACACTCGTTTTGGGGTAAGTTGAAAGCAAACGTCTAAATAAATAAAAAAATTGACTGGTTTTTAGTGTGATTCCTTTATGTTTTTTTAGATAAGTCATCTTGGCCTTCATTATGTATTTTTTTCCTTTACAGGTACCAAGGACATGGAATCAGCAAGGCATCCACACATGGTTGCAGTCTGTTATTGCAACCAGAGAATTTATTAATCTCCCCTACAGCATTATGCTAAGTACTTCTTCAATGCCTTTTAAAAGTGAGTATTCATCTTAAATTATGTTTCATATTTTGTAGATGTGAATATTTTCCCACGAAGGACTATTTCATTTACCAATTTAAAAAGTTTGGGGACTAATGTGGTATTTTTATAGACTATGGCACTAAAATGACCCCATGTAAAAAGTCAGGGAACTATTTTGACACAACTCATTGTGTAATGCCATTTGAGTGCTTGCCAGTTATTACGATTGATTGAAACTGCCCCTAAATTACTTCCTAAGAAATTATGATTTATTTTTACAGTTGGCCTGGTTCCTGTTCTTTGTTGGTCAGTTCAGCATGTAGTGAAGTTCTCAAGAAAAAGCATGGCACATTCTAATTTGTACAGGTAATTTTCTTAACGAGCAGTATACTTGAATTATGTATATTGTTTAGAAAGATGCGTTATGTTCCCGCAAGTTTTTACTTATTTGCATGTTGGGCTATGATAGTTCGACATCAGAAGGTTCACAACTTTTCTCACTTTACATATATTTATACTTTATTTGCAAAAACATAATAGGAACTTTTAAATCTCTTAAGTGTCATCTCAAAGCTAAATCTTGGCTTGGTGATACAGGCGCTAACAGCGCCCGGTTCGGCCGTTTCAAATCACGGGGCCAACCGGTTGGGCATTGCAGAAGCGAGAGAGGCGCAGAAGAGGGAGTGGGAGTTCGTGAATTCTCATGAGGGAACGCAATTGCGGAAGATCTTGCACGAAGGCTAGAAGAATCGTAACACGGATCACGAACTATTGCGATCTGTCTTGGCGCATCACAAATCAGCTGGCCTAGGGAGTTCTTTTGGAATTTCTCTAGGCTGCCCACTCTCTTCCTTTGTGTAAAAGCTTCCTCCGTATGGAGGGAGCCTATAAATTACTGTCCTAGGTATGTAGGGAGTCAGTTCTTACTGTGTTCAGTTTCATCTCTTATGTGGCTGTGTCCGAGAAGATGGTGGTGATTCGGCTATATCCCCTCTAAGGTAGTGATTGTATTCTCCTCCCCCACTTCTCTGTCGCCGCACTCTCCCTCCAACACCTCGATAGCCTATTCCTCTTCCTGCAGATTACTATTGTTGTCGTGTCGTCCGCACTCTATTACTATAGGTGCAGATTACTATTGTCGCCGCACTCTCCTTCCGCACTCTCTCGTATTTTTGTGCAGAATTTTCCCTTACTAACTGGATATTTACTAAAGTATACCTAGCCGGTTTTAGGAGAAAATATTGTGCTTAAACATGTATGCAGTGTACGTAAGAAAGGTTATTTCAAGTGCCTCCCAACCACCCCACTACTGCTGCAAACCACCTATAACCCTTTTCTACTTGCTTTCCCAACAATTCCGAACCTTCCCTTCGCTACCACTTGCTTTCCGTGACTGCCGTCATCCCTCTCACTTATCTCGATTCCTACAACCGACCTCCATTACCCATTGGGATGCATCTAGGAGTGTTTACTTGTGTCGTTTTATGTTTTGCGTTGTTATTTTCGTTCGAGTTATGTTGTAACCCTATTTTAATATTAATGAACTTTTTTGTGTTTCCACTATTTTCCCTACTAGTTTCGATATCATTTGGTATCAAAGCCAGGTCCAACCCTAGTCACACCCTAAGATTTCTGAGCATTCGTCATAAACCAAAACTTTCTTTCATGCCACCAAATATGGAAGCCCAAACCGTAACCATACTAAAATTTTTCTTTCCTATTCCTTAATCCCTAGCCATTTCGCCCCGGAGATGCTTGCCCGAGCCTATCCGAGAAGAGTTAAGGAGGGAGCTCTGCTGTCTTCGATAGAGACTTGTGGAGATTGAAGAGTTAACATAGGAGGAGAATACCTTCAACCCGAACCTAGAGAGTCGAAGGGGAGAAAGAAATGACGATCTGAATCCTTCCATGGGGAGACTTTCAGTGATGAAGAAGACAAGCCACGATGTTTCGTGATGCAGTATCAGAGAAGGCTTAGAGAGGGATACTTGAATCCCTCCCAAAGGGAGAATTCCCTAGAGGAGATACCAAGGGGACCCAAACACTATGGGATCGAGGTGGATTTACTTGAGTTTGAAGAAGTCATGGATCCGGATGAATTTCTTGAGTGGCTACAAACTGTTGAACGAACCTTCGAATATAAGGAGGTATCGGTGGAAGTCGGGTCAAGCTAGTTGCTATCAAGCTGAAGAAGAGCGCTTCCCTATAGTGGGAAAATGTGTGTAGGCAGAGGCAGAGAAAGTAGGAAGACAGTAAAAAAGATCACTAAGTGGGAGAACATAAAGAAGATAGTGCAGAAAAAGTCTCCCACACGACTATCGTCAGGATATGTTTCTAAAGCTCCACAACTTGCAGTAGAGGATCTTTCAGTAGAGGAGTTCACAACTCAGTTTGATCACTTACAACTCAAATGCGAACTGAAAGAACTGAAAGAGCATACAGTAGCCAGATATCTTGGGGGTCTGAGGCTTGCCATTAGCAATGTGGTATAACTGCAGCCATACTGGACATGGGGAGACGTCCAGACACTGGCCTTGAAAGTAGAAAGACAGCAGAAGCAAAGTAACAATCATCTTTCAGGTAGTAATCTCCAGACAATCGACCACTTATAGTTACCATGGCCGACAAGGGCATCCTAGAAGAGGGCAGTGAGTCTGGACACAGGAATGATAGTTTGAATCAGAGCGAGAAGAAGCAAGAGAAAGGTAGCGCCTCCAACATTTACCGGCCAAGAAATGTTTCAAGTGTCACAGTTACGACCACATAGCCTCCAAACGTGTAGAGTAGTCTCACTGATTAGGGTGTCGTGGAAGAGATTAGCGATGAAGAAAAGGTCGAGAAACAGGGTGAGGTGTATAAGTTTCCCCTAGATGAAGGAAAGGTGCTCGTAATTCGAGGAATCCTGCAGACTAAGGAGACTGGATTTGCAGTGACTTCGCCTCAATATATTTTACACCCAATGCATAGTGAACGGAAAGGTATGCAGTCTCATCATTGACGGCTAAAACATCAAGAATGTGGCGTTGACAGGGATGGTAGAAATTAGGACTCACAATGCAGAGAAATTCTCAGTCATATTCACTTACGCGGTTGAAGAAGGAGAATCAGGTTAACATCTTGGTAGAATTTTTGATCGGAGGCCAGTTGCAGGACTGTGTGTGGTGTGATGTGATCTTTATGGATGCTTGCCACCTTTTATTCGGAAGACTGTGGCAATTTGACTAAAGGACCCAACAAGACATATAAAAATACGTATTTTTTTACCAAGGGTAGGAAGCGTATCACTATCCTTCCTTCGACAGAGCCCGATGTCATAGGATCCCTTTTCAACAAAGCAACATCAGTGGAGCCAGTTTAATAATAACACTAGACGAGAGGACCGAGACACCCTCCCCAAACACAGAACTAATACGACCGAGATTATGTCAGGTCAATGTTGTATCAGCAGCACCAGACGAGAGGGTCTGATTACTATCACTACACGCTCAATTGAACCGATCATATATTACTTTTGGAAGATTTACCAGTATAGGCGTGGTACACGATACTAAAAGGACAGACCGACGTGGACCTTGTCATACCCCAGGAGACAGTGCGGTCGTTAGTGGGATCCAAGAGTGGTTGACCATGAAATAAAAGCTTTGAATACGAAACGAAAGCTGCCTAAATCCCAGGAGACTGATACAGGTGCTAACACCACCAGATAGCGGGTGCTAACAGCGCCCAATAACAGGCACCAAAACAACAATCGGTTTGTGGTGTTGAATAGTGCTTGATTATGAGCACTAAAACAGTGCCCAGCTTGGGCATTTCAAATCGCTGAACCAACCCTCTGGCCATCGCAAAAGCTAGAGCGGCGCATAAGGGGGTGGGAGTTCGCTAATCCTTGCGAGCGAATGCGATTGCGGGAGATCTTGCACGATACCGCGGGGGCGAGACGATAAACCCGCAGAAGCTGACGCGAGGGAGAGACGATGAAGCCGCAGAATCGCTACGTCGTTGTCGACGATCGCGAAAAACGAACTTTAAACAACAAAACAAGCAACAAGGTGGGTAGAGAGAGGTATTCTAATTGCATAAAAGAAAATCCTTTTACCAATATTTGATTAGATATATATATATATATTATGAAAAGCCCAAGGGCTGATTTTATTGAAATAAAAAAGATACATAAAGGTTATATGAGAGGGCCCAATAGAGGCACCCTACTCATACGATACCAAGTACAATAATACTCCAACAAAAAGATACAAAAAAACTCAAAAAAAAGATAAAAAATTTAAAACATGCAGAAAACAAGTAGATAGGGACGAACCAGTTTAGTCCTGCCTCTTCCTATAGTTTTAGGAGCGAAGCCAGATAACAAACTTTGAAGTGTCGTGTCATTATCAAAAATAACCAAACTATCATCCATTAAGTTTCCAAGTTGGAGTGTGCCCCCAGCCTTCTTCCACCGAGAAGTATGAACCTGTCATTCTTCATCTGAAGATTGGCTCATGCGATCCTCGGTCTGATTAGATATTAGAACCACAGTAGAAGGAAAGGCAGTCGTTGTCACAACGATAGGTTTCAGTGTAGGTGAAGTGTGAATTGTCACCTCTGCACCTGATGCTTTCTGAATAAGAGCTGCGAGACTATCCCGACTTTCGGTTCGAACATTATCCCTTATAATATGGTCAGGAGAAGGGTTCCCAGGGGCAGTTCAACTCATGTTTTGTGGTGATTCCCTCATCTGGTTGGCTGTCATCAGGTTTGTTGGGAGCGCGTTTAGGTGCACTAACAGCAAGTTCCTACTTTTGACTATTGGTTCTCAACTGTGGGTGCAATCTGAAACATTTCTCTTGCGAGTGTCCAAACATCTTGCAATGCTTGTAGTAGTTAGGTTTTTGTTCCATAATGATTTCTTGCCAATAACCATCATGAGCATAGCCAAGTCAGACTTCTTCTACATCTAGTAGTGTAATATCTCTTTCAATCAAAATCTTTGCAATAGAGGGCTTTGAGAAATGAACTGTAGGTATGTCTACCTGCAAAAGATTTTCCAATGATAGTCCCAATTGCATATGAAGTAAGTAGATCAAAGAAATGTAGCTTGAGTTTAGGTAATGAGAACCAGATAAGCGCAATTGGGGGTTCTTTGATCGGAATCAAAATCAGGGGTTCATTTGAGCAATTTCATATGATTGCCCTCGATTGTGAGGAATTTATTTGAGAAAATCCTTGTGCAATCTTCTTCTGCTCAACTGTATCATAACATGTCTTCCGTCGAAAAGACCCACCTGTCAAGCCCAAACTAGTTTGAAATCTTCAAAAACCTTCCTGATAATCTCTATCTTAGTGCGACCTAATTAGAACTTTCCAACTAGTTCTTCCCTTCAACATAACAACATTAGAAATATGTATATATAATGTTGTTATGTTAAAGAAATTTAATTTAAAGATTTTCAATTGTAAAGTATATTATGGGAATACAGTAAATATAAATATGAAAGGAAGGTTTGCCTATTAAATAAATGACAAAATATTGTAAATAAATAAGTTTGCAAGCATCTAATTATATAATAAATACTAATTAGTTAATAATTAAACTTATGTAACTAAATGAAAGAAAAATATTATTTAATAATTGAAGTAAATAAAACTAACTAACAATAGTATTTTTTATTAATAATTAGGTGTTCAAATAAAAAGTGATAGCAAAAGGAAAAAAATTGTCATCGAGAGTTGAAGTGATTACTCATATTTTAAATTTATAATAATATTATTATTTCTCTAAACACTATGCATGATTTAATATTGTTATTTGTTCAAATTAATTTTTATCGCAGAATTTACTTTGATTTATCTGGTTTATAGGTAGTATTGATCATATTGAAATGAATTTTATAGTTTTTTCAATGTACTAAATGTATTTTTTTCATGCATTAATTTTATAAATAATATTAAATGATGTAAAAATGAGGAGGATGAAATGGATTTTATAGATTTCTTGCATATGCATGTTGATTGATAAAGTTCACTCATTTACGATCTTAGCTGTGCTGCTAAGATATCCATGCACATAAGCTGAAAAATGATATTCTTATCTACTATCTTAATAAGTACAATTTTAGATTGTTCTTTTATGACGAATATAATGATATAAATAAGATGAGATATTCTATCATACAATAAAATATTCTAAACATTTATGAATAGTAATAATTGAATAATAGATTATTATTTATTTATATATTAATTCATTATGGTTAACTAACATGCATGTTTACTTTTTTGTTTCATTACTATAATTTAGAAATATGAATATTCAATGTTTGTTGATAGATTATCATATTTTAAATCAACATTTTCTGGTAAATTTGGAGCTAGAAAATGATTGAAAGGAGAAAATATATTTATAGAAGATGCAACTAAACTTGGTAAGGTTAATCAAAATTACAATTATTTTACTTATAAGTTGATTTAAGTTTTAATCATTAGTGGGTCTACAGTAATTAAAATTTTATTCGGATTTCACTGTCCGAATGGATTTTTTTTTTCCTGCACTTTGGAAATTCCAATCTCCCAAACCCAGGTCCTGATATCTACCTTTTATACTTGGAGGACTTTTCCTCTCCATATTTTGTACTTGGAATTCTCTTATTTTCCCATCATTTTTCAACTTCTCAGGGTATCTTTCTCTTGCTCCTGTCCCCTACTGTCTCCATCAATTTAAATATTAGAGGAATGAACGAAGAATGAGTACTCATAAACCGGCTCCAGGTAGTTGGGATAAAGATGATGACGATGTCTTCTTGAACAAATAAGGAAAGGCGGCATTTATCCTTCCATTCATCGATTTTTCTTCATTACCAAAAGTTTCTTCCACTCCCATCCAATCTCCAACACTTCGAAAAAAAATTATGGTGGTTGAGACCACACGACCAGCTACTGATAAGCGATGGTGGCAGATTGGTAGTATTGTGGTGGTTGAGATGAAGAACTGGATAGGCTTGCTCCACGAGGAAAAGATGCAGCTGTGTAAAATTTCAGGAGGAAGTTGAGAAGTATCTGGAAAGTACTAGGCTCAGTCCATCTGAAAGATGTAGCTTATGTAGCCAGGTGTGCTTTCATGGATGGATAATCAGGCCACATAGCTTTCCAGTATACTTGGATATTCATCATTGTTTATTGTGATTGATTAGTCCTTATAATTTAATAATTATGCATTTCTTTAAACATGTTCCCCAATGTCATTGATATTGCTAGCTTAATTTTTTTTCTTAAAAGATGTAATAATCTTCAATGATTCTTGAATTTAAGAAGTTACTGAATCCGTTATAGGAAATACCTTGATGAACCCTGCTTGTGGGTTGATGTGAATGCTACCACAATTAATATTCTGAGTTCAAATGCAGAGGTTGCCCTTGGCTTCCTTTTCCTGATATCACTCTTCTCGTAAGTTGGCTTGATTTTCTTCTACTCTTTCCTTTCTCTTTTTTTGTTTTCAGCGTTTTCTTGGGATTTCAAGTTTCTATTCCTTCACATTAAGAAAGCAAATTAAGCTAAATCTGTTTTGTTTCAGGCAAAGGCGCAGCATAATCCACACATTCATGTATTGGCAGGTGTGTTTTGCTCTCTGATTTTTGGTTATTTTAGGCGAAATAGAAAAGTTTAGACTTCTGTCTGATTCATTTTACTCGACAAATTCTGCCAAGGGAATAAGACTGATATATAAAGTTCAGACTTCTGCATAGGAATCGGGTTGTATATACATAAATGCTTTCAAAAATATATATTATCAAGCTCCAACCTCTCTTTAATATTGTTCTCCAGCTGCTGAAACTCATGTATCATGTTCCTGCAACTTCTGGCTACCATCAGAGTGTCTGGTCCAAGATCGATCGTGCCATTAACCCTTTCGTAAATCGATATGCTCCATTTTTGAATGCTCCCATCTCAGCTATCAGGAAATGGTGGTCCAGGTAGACTAAGCTTTCAGAAGGTAAATGTGGATGGAAGGAATCCAGAAGAAGCTGTCCTTCATCTTCTTCCATGATGAGAATCCTAATTGTGATAGTTTAATTATGTTTCTGTAAACTATTGTTGGCCATCTTTGGTATTGAGAGAAGCTTCCTGTGTCTTGTGCTACTTATTGTCTTTGCAGAGTTGAAGCTGGGATGTGGGTTCTGAAATATTATTTTATGAAAAGAAGAATTTGTAAGATATCCTGATATGTTGTAGATCAGAATGATGATTTTGTAACTTGTCCTTAATTTAATATCAGGTGGTTTCTTTTAATGGCATTAAATTATTATACATCATAATTAAATTTTAGACATAAATATAACTATATTATTACCATATTGTGAGAAATTGAAGGGAAAAATTACTGCTTTATTATTCATCTCTGTTGTAGCTTCCAAATCATCATTCGAGTCAAATTCGAGTAGAGCTAGGTGCGCCTAGCCTGCCAATTATCACAGGACTTGAAACATTGCTATTTACAAAACTAACATTTTAATAATCTTTTTGAATTAGTGAGCCAATATGTATGATATATATATATATATATGTATGTATGTATGTATGTTATGATTAAATTGTTAATTTGATTGAAAATAAAAATAGGGGTTGAAATTTCATTGTTAATTTGATTGAAAATAAAAATAGGGGTTGAGATTTTCTAAAATAGGGGTTTGAATTTTCTTTTGTTTTTTTTTTTTTTTTTTTTTTTTTTGGGAAAGGTCAGCCTAAAGGGTAATGTGCGGTTCAAATTTGTGATTTCACAGTTAAATATAACACATTGAACTAGAAAATTATGTGATTTTGTAAATAAAAGATGTAAAAATGCATATATGGAGACAAACATAATGGCATGGAACTTAAAATTACATATACTTTTGAAAATGTAATAAGGGCACATTATTTTTATAATTATATATCTTATAAATTTTATAATGATTTTAATAATGGCATAAGTTAAATAAATATGATGACAATTTTAATGGTATAAAATTTAAAAAGATTTTATTTAAGAATGAAAAAAAAATAAATTAAAGATAAAAATTATAAAAAATAAAAAAAACATAAAAAATTAATGAGTAATTAAATTTTAATAAAGTTCAAAAAGATATAATCATTAATTATTTTCTAAGAGTTTTATTAAATGCAAGCATAAAGTATTTGTTATAGTATACACAATCATGAACCAAATATGTTTGATGCATGTTAAGTGTGTTTGTGCAATTGTGTCAAAGATAGTATATGTTCTAATAGCAAAATACATTGTATCATAAATTTGTATTGTTATTTACAACAAATTTCTAGTTAATACTTCAGATATTAACATAAACTTTATTGAATTATTATTTTCGAACACTAGATTGATTTTGATCTGAAGTTATTAGGCAATAAAGTAGTTTTAGTAGATTTTTACTTGTAAAATATATATTCCTAGAAACATATATTATCTTAAAACATTATGTATTATCATTTTAATATGTTTTTAAAATACGATGCTATTTTTATTCATAAGTTGGCTAAAAAAGACTCATTGTTTTTCAAAAGATATAACTTATTTAAGCTGATTGTCATGACTTCAAAGTTGTGTGAGGAAGAATTTGGATTAATTGGGATACTTCCAGCATTCAGTTTTTTCGACTTGCTTGTCAATCTTAATTTATTCATAGTCTGATTTAGTTTAGAACCCATAAATTCTGTCGCTTCTATATATATTATCAATTCGGCTCCATTGGAGAATTTTTTTAAAAAATTTTTGGGAAAGGAGTAAATCGAACTTGGGCCATTTTTACTAAAAAAATCTTACATCAAGAGTCATGATCAGGTTTACATCAATTGTTCTGATGCATTCTTGTACCAGGACTCCAATCAAGGTCTTCCACGTGTACAGACAGACCCCTCTCAGTAAAAAAAATAATAATAATTTAATATATGAGTGTGTCTGCATGATACAAAACTACATCAAGAGCCTAGAGCTTTTTACTACACGTTACTACATTGGTCACATCTCAGCACAACCAATGCACTTGCTACAAAATTACCTCTCAGCCTTTTTAAAATTCACTTTCCTATTTTGAAACACCAATTAGTTTTAAAAGTTATACATGTTTAATATCTAGAGTTTGACATTTTAATGTCATAAATCTATGCCAAAAAAAAAGGGCATTTCACTTCTAAAAAGTTAGGAATATTAGAATTTTTTATGTTATGTTAATGATTTGGGTTTTATGCATATGCACTTAAAAGTTTGGGTATTATAAAAGTAAATACATTAGAGTGTGAGGTATTTATGTAAATAGTATAAAAAAATTATTAGGCAATGTATGACTCATCCAAGAATATCATTATAATTACATGGGATATTTGTTGAGAAGCTGAAGTTCTTTAAAACTGCTCTCATTAATTCTTTGTAGATTAATGCAATTTTTATCTCAAATTGTTGTCAGTCTTTTAAGGATGCTTGCTTTAAGATAAACTAACTATTCGATGATCCTTCACACCTTCAAGAAGCCAATTTGTTCCATAATACATTCCTGCACACATGAATGTTAACAGGAATGTCACTACAAACAGACAGCTACAGTTGGATCATTGGAGTGTATTACAACCACTAAACTTAGTCCCTATAATTAACTATCCCTAGAATCATCTATTGAAGATAAAAAATAGAGAATTATCATCACCATAACCTTCTGATTTTATTCCTACGATAAATTAGAGAAACCTGGGCTTATTACGTTCACATAGTTTCCTCGTCTCTGCTCCAGTTTCACTTGCATTTTCTTCACCCAACCTTGTATCAGCATCCTCTTTCATGGTATCATAGTTGCTGCATCACTATACCCCCTCCCCCTCCATTTTGTATCATAGAAACTCGGAGATGGGCGAATCATTGTCAAATGGCACACTCGCCTCTCTCATGAGTTAAGAGCCAGCATCCTACCATCCCTCAAATTCCTTATGTCTAACATCAAATCCATTACCAATATCTCCCCTCCACGGATAATTACCCTCGCTTGAAATTTCAATTGCTCAAATTAATTAGGGCCAATGAATTTGAAGGGTTCCTGGACAGATCTCCCCTGACCTCCAGGAACAGTGACTATCAACGATGGTATGTCTTTCCCAAATCCTACTTATGCCACATGAATGCTAATTGGCCAACACCTAACCTCTGCCATGTTCTCAACAATATCTCCCACCATCGTGACCCAACGTTCTTAATCATGACACTTGTTTCAAAATTTGGGAAACTTTAGCTTGCAAATTCCAAGCCACCAATCGATCCAAGATCATTCAACTTAAAATGAGCTCCACAATGCGACTATGAAGACACAAACCATAAATCAATACATTGCTCAGATTAAGACGCTGGTAGATAACATCGTAGCAGCCGACGCATTGATGGACACTAAAGATATTACCCTTCTACATCCTCAAAGGGTTACCTCCCTCCTACCAAGCTTTTAAAACAACTAATCAAACAAAATCATCTCCAGTCAACCTAGAAGAGCACTATTCCCTGCTGCATAATAAAATCCGATACAAAACCTATCAAATGACATCCACAACTTATTAATAATTTATGGTATAAAGTTTATAAAAATATTTGTTAATTCATCAAATCATCATTTCTCAACAGGCACATTAACCCTGTAAATTGTATCCCAAAGATAACATAGATTTGAATATGAAGAAACTTCATTAAAATTGATGAAAGCATTTACCTGGTGCTTGTCATTAATATTAGCATCAGCTTGGAATATTATAAAACAAGCAGGGGAAGAATCTGAAATTCTATCCCTTTGTGCAGCCTGCTGCAAGTTATGCTGAAAATCAAAGCAAAATATAATAGAAGGCATCTATAAATAATCCAAAAAATACTTTAAGACAGTTGCTGTACGAACTGGGATGTGTATTGAGAAACAATTCTCAAAATAAATTTGTATAATGAAATAAATAAAAAACAAATTTTATCATCCGGTCACGACAATTATGTGATAAAATACAATATATCAAGCAGGAACAAAGGTGATGGAGGATTAATACGATAAAAGGATCCAGTGACTACAGCTAATCAATGAAGCATAAAAGAAAAGCAATCTGGAGTATTGGCTCATATATTAAAAGAAAATAGGATTAAATAATCCATCACATAATAACATAGAACTCACACATCTTTCACTAAATTTCAATGAGCAGTGGAGTAAGCATTGCAGGTTCTAGCGTTGGAGCAGAAACCACAAAAGGAAAGAAATGAGCGCTACATCAATTTGCCTTTGGGAAATTTCACCTTCACATTCAGCTCAAAAGTTAAGGGTGACAGTTCCAACCAACAACGTGCTGTCCTTGGAACTTCTGTTATATGATAGAAAGTGTCAATGAACGCTCAAAAATGATAAGCTATGCTGCAGATAGATGCCTTAAGAAATTAAACTAGTTAGTAACACTATTGCTCAAATCTACAAGAATAGAAGAAGCATATCATTATGGCATATATCTTGTTTGGACTAAAATACACACAGTGAGGGATAACCTTTTAATATTCATGAGCATTTATTTAAATTGAAGATGAATAATTTTCATTCTTTATTGACATGAATTATATTCCTATGCCAAGATTGAATTTGCTTAAATCGAACTAATTAACCTGTTTGGCATATTAAATTTTGAGTATTTGCGGTCGGAAAATAGTATAAGAAACTTAGATTAATGGGAAGAGGAACTCCGCCAAACTATTTCAAATTTTATTATTCAAGCTTAGTTTGAACCGAATTAGTCACATGAAACACATTGTTTTTTTAAGCCCAAATGCAAACTAATAATTTGAAAGAAATTTGAACCGTCTGTCAACAAATTTTATCTTGTACTTAAACCCATAAGCGAACTGTTTAAATAATGCTCAACCTGACCAACATGTGAAAAAAATTGCAATTCTCATTTTTGAGCGTATGAAAAGACATCTTTCATGAATTTGCAGCGTATGAAAAGACGCGTGAAAATAAATAAGAATAAGACTATCCTGTGATAGGCAATCAATTATTTGGGCTTTAAAATGGTTTGAAAATAGCCTTGCTGTTTCAAGTTTAAAAGGTGGATCAAGATCAAGATCAAGACTGCAACTTTTTTCAGAGCTCAAAATGAACTAGAAATACATGAAAAACAAATCCAGTTTGAAAATGGGCTCAGAAATTCGAACCATCTTTTTCTAGCATTAAAAATGCACTGAAAAAGCATGAAAAAAAATGCAATTTACAAATTGCTTTGCAGATGGGAACTGCAATTCTTTAAAAAGGTGAAAATGCATGGAAAAATGTAGTTTGAAAATGGGTTCAATAATGCTAACCGCATTGTTTTTACACAAAAAGAGAGACTTAGAATGTGTGAAAATATATATTTCACAAATGTGTTCAAAAGGTGAATTGCAATTGTTTTGACAAATTAGCCAAAATAAGCGACCTAAAAAGTTCACAAATATGTTTGAAAAACAATATATAATTTGCACGACTTGTACAGTTCTAACTAAATTTCAAACCGATTCCACTCTACATTAATTTGAGTCCCATAAACAAACATCAACTACAAATACTCAAATTTTAATACACAAAAAAGTTGCGCAGGTTAAACTGAGGCAGATTTAGTGTAAATAAAAGAAAAAAAAATCACCATAACGAAGAGAGATTCTTCATCTTAAATTTTAAAAAATATTTGCAATGAAAATTTACATACATTCCACTCAGTTCCTATGCATTTTAACATCTAACAAACAAAATTCAATTTTTATAAACATGAAGAATTGTATTTCACATTTTAAAGTAAAAATGGTGGTACTTTTGATATGATATGAAAGATTTGGGTGATATAAATGTAAAAAGCTAAGTTAGATGTTAGATATGTACATACATAAGAATTGGGTGGTATGTATGTAAATGTCCATATTTGTAAGTATGAGTGGTTCTCTCACACGTTGAGGGTGTTTTAGTCCAAAAAAATTTTGGAGGATGTTTTTCCAAATTAAAATATAACAGGGACATTGGTTCAAATAAATGCATTATGAAGGTTAACAAATTAATTTCCCTTTTTAAACAATAATATCAGTATAATTTTTTTTTTTAGTACAGTAAAAAAATAAACAAAAAGATTCATTTTATGGATTAAAATTTATGAAATTTTATTTATTTGATGTACATTTTTTATCAAGAATAAAAGATTTTTTTTAAAAAAAATCTCAGATGATTACATTAAAAACTATATACATAAACAACATTAAAATAATCGACCTTTTGAATTGAAAGTAAAAGCAGATCATAAGAACATAATTTCTGTTATTACTAGATAATGGAGTAATGTTCTCAATAATATTATTCTGCAATTTAAATAAAATTAAATATATCATAAGGCTATTTGATTATATAAAAAATAAATTTTAACTTAAAATAAGCCACAATAAATTAATTTATATTCAATCAAGTAAATTTTATAATTAAAAAATATTATGTAAATAAATGATAGAGAGAAACTCAATTTTTTTTATAGGGGAAAAAGTAAAAAGGGGTCAGTGATCTTATAAGGAGCACATATTGCAATACAAAGGCCATAAAGAAATTGATCAAACAATACAATGCCTTGATACGTGTGCTTTAAGTTCTTTACTATAATTGGAAAGTGAGTGGGCACTACTGTAGCATGCATGACAATAGCATGTTGCTATTGCGGGATACTATAGCTCGATATTGTAGCAATAATTGAACATTCACCATTCAACTGGATGGTAGAGGTTTATCATTTCAAGTTTGCCTTCAATATTTTAAATGTTGGGCTTCGAAGTCTTTTGGTAAATGTCGGTCATTTGACTCTCAGTAAGCACATATGGAGTGCAAATCAGGCCACTTGCTAAATTATTTTTTATGAAGTGTATATCTATCTCAACACGCTATGTACGAATACGATTAGATTGTACTTGATTGTGTGTAATAATAATGATTAATTTATTATGACAATAAATTTTCATAGGCTCTTTTCACTTGATTTTTAAATCTTTTAATATAATTTTGATCTGTTGAAGCTGATAGATGCATTTGGCAATGGCTCTGAACTCAGCTTCGATACTTGATCTTGAAACTATAAGCTATTTTTTGCTCTCCAATTTATGAGAATTCATCCTCAAAAAATAAAATACCTTGGAATACATTCTATCTACAATTGATCCAGCATTATCCACATTCGGGGAATCCTTTTAATTTATAAGGTATCATGTTTTTTATATGAAACTCCTTTCTTGGACTTGATTTAAATTATATAAGAATTCTATAAGCAACTATATTTGGGGTTGTGCATAAATTAACTATTAGACTTATTGCGAATGAGGTGTCAAGATGAGTGGGAGATAAATATATTTAATTTTTCAACTAACCTTTGATATTGTCTCATATTTACATCAATTCCTTCTTCATCAAAGTCTAATTTTTATCCTAGTTCTGTTGGAGTTTCATACGACTTGCACTCCATCATTTCCCTATGTTCACAATATTATTTTGTTGAGAGGAAATATTTCTTCTTTAGATTAAGTCACTTCTATTCTGAAATATATATTTGAGTTCTTCCGGCTTTTTGATTTCAAATGCTTTAGCAAGTATGCTCTCCCGAAGATGATTTTGAGTGAAAAAGCTATGAGTTTCATTAAGAGTGGCATTCATTGAAGTCAAGAATCTTTTTTTGAATAGATGATATCATTTTATCACTTTTGAGTGACATAATATCCAATAAGTACGAGTTATAGGATCAAGTTTTCTTCTATAAAATTTATGGACATGAACATAAGCAATACATTCACAAATTTTAGAAGACACCTTTGAGAAATCGTATATACTAAATAAAACTCCCAAATAATTTAGAGTACTTTTACAATCAATTACTATGGAAGACATTCCATTGACTAAATTGATAGTTGTTAAAATAACTTTCCCTAAAATTAATTTGAAATTTAATTGTGGAGCATAATTATCCGAGTCACCTCCAAAAGATTATCATTTTTCTTCTCCGTTACTACATTTTCTTAAGGAATAGGGGGCAAAAAAAATTGGTTTGTAATATCCTCCTTCTAAAAGAATGATGATAACATGTGATTAAAATAATCACAAACATTATTAGTCTGAAAAAATTTTATGTTTTAAATTAATTCTTTATAATGACAATATATATAAAGAATGTAGTGATAACATTGAATTTCGTTTAATTGAATATATCTAAGTCATTTGAGTGCAATCATCAATAAATTAAACAAGACCAATAGCTCAAAAAATATTAAGAATTTTAGAAGGTTCCCAAATATCAGAATGAATTAACACAAAATAATTAGAGGTTCCAAAAATACTTTCCAAAAGTAAACATGATTAACAATTTCACAAGTTTTACAATGAATTGAAAATGAAAAAATATATTGAATATTTTTTAAGGAATGATACCCTAGTTTATAATGATATATCTATATGATGTAGGCGGTATGAGACGTCCTAAAAACACAATGATTAATAAAAGAAAGATAATTTTGTAGTTATGATATTTACTAAATTTAAGGATAGATAAAAAGATAGCTACAAAGCGTTGAATATTTACTAAGGGTTGAATTGAGAGAAAATGAGATGTCTCCATGTCCTGCAATAGTTGTTAAAAAGCAATATGTAGTTTTCATTTTTCATATTATTGGGATAGAGTTTATATGTTTGAAATACATTGGCAATGCTTGTTGTATGGTCAGTGGCCACTGAACCTAAGATTCATGAAAGAGAAGAAAAATTAGAGGCGCTAAAATAATAAGAATTACAACTCGAACCATTCTGAACTAGAAAGTCGAATCTTAATTTTCATTTTCATATTTGGGGTAGAGTTTATAAGTTTGAAATATATTGGCAAGGCTTGTTATATGGTTAGTGGCCCCTGACCCTAAGATTCATGAAAGAGAAGAACTATTAGAGGAGCTACAAAAATAAGAATTAAAACTCAGTACCATTCCGAACAAGAGAGTTGAATCCTATGACTTTTCTATATAATTGAGAAATTTCTTTAATTTATTCATTTCTCTGAATAGAATCCTAAATCCACTACACGATTCTATCCTTTTTTATTCCCATGTTTACTTTCTGTATAATCTTGGAGTTTTTTGTGAAGCTTTCAACATTTATCTTTAATGTGTCATTTCTTTTTGTTGTAGATGCATCAAAGACTCGTCTTGAAAATTTTTTTACATCTTTTGAAAAAAATTTTGTGACAAAAAATCTCTTACCTTGGGATTTAGAAACTGTCATGATAGATATATCAAGACTCGCGGACCACTGAACATCACATTCCATCTTTATTTAACCCATAGGAGAAAACACTTTATTCAAAGAAGTAGATTTCCTCTGCTAAGATTCGAATGTGATCAAATTCATTGTCGAGTCATGCCAAAAACTCAAAAAAATCTCTCATGCTCAATAAATTGTTTGATGATCGCACATCCTCACAGCATAACATATTGAGATTTTAGTAATAATCCAACTCTAATCTTCATGGAATTATAATATTCAATGAATGGAATGTTATCTTGTTTGATAGAGGTGAGCATTGTCTTGATTTCGTACACGAATGTAACATCGCTCACCTTTGAGTAAGTTTGTCTAACTAAATCTCAAACCTCATATGGAGGGAAGATGAATATAGAAAACCCACTGATCTCCGATAATATGGTGTTCAACAATCATGTCTTGCTCGTGAAACCAATTTCTTCTCAAAGTTTAAAATTTGAGTATTTAGACTCCAAAGATAAATCCATAAGATGTTAAAAATTTCTCTTTCTTTTCAAAAAGGTTTTCACAAGTTGAGACCATTTAAATTAATTTGTCATATTCATGGGATAAAGTGCTTGAATTTCTTGGGATTCTCCCTTGGCCTAATATTTACCATTAATCATTGTCGCGTTATTTGAAGGGAAATGAAGAACTGATACATACTGAATAGAAGAAGAATCCAACAAAAAGAATAAGATTGAAAGTGAAAATTCTAACATTAGAGAAAAAGAAAATGGTTGGAAAAAACCCTAACCTTGCTCTGATACTATTTAATAAATAAAATAATGGAGAGAAATTGTCAAGAATATTTGTATATTGTGCCTTTTTTTGTAAAATATGAGAAGCATAAATACATCTCTAAGAGATATTACAAAAAGGGGGAAAAATAAAAAGTGGCCAACAATCCTACAAGGAAGCATACAAATTTCAATCCAAGGGCCATAGATAAATTGATCCAACGATACAATATCTTGTGCTTTAAGCTCTTTACTATGATTGGAGAGTAGGCTCTATTGTGGCACAATACTGCAGTGTGGTATTGTAGCACACTACTATAGTAAATATTCAATATATTATATAATATTAATAATATTAATGTATTTAGTTACATCTGTGATAGCCCAAACTCTCGCCCATCAAGGTATCGTCCACTTTGGAATGGTCTCACAGTTTTACCCCATTGGTATAACATCCCAGGAGGTCACCCATCCTATGAATGCTCCATCACGAGCACGCTAAACTTTAGAGTTCTATTGAAATTCCACCGTTACACCAAAAAATGTCTCGATGTTTATGAGTCGTGCTTTAATCTACTTAAGAGGTTTCACAATCTCCCCCACTTAAGTAATTAATGTCCCTGTTAGTTCTCGTATGCCAAAATCATCCATCGTGCAGATAAGACTTTAGAGGTGCCCCCTATAGATTTAAGAGATGGCTCCCACCATGTAGCACTTTGTCCCATTCAATGTTCAAAAGATGGTTTCCATGGTGTAAAATTTATTTCTGTCTAACACTTAGTTCTCATCTTTCGACTGTTATTATGTTTCGAAACCATTTGTAATAGCTCGGACTCTCACCCATAAAGATATTGTCCGCTTTGGCCTAATGATCTCAGGGTTTTGCCCCGTTGGTGTTACTTCCCAGGAATGTTTTATCACGAGCATGCTTAACTTCGGAGTTTATATTGAAATTCAACTGTTAAACCAAAAAGTACCTCATTGTTTATGAGTTCGGCGTCAATCTACTAAAGGGGTTTCAGAACATTCATATTTAATATAAGTAGAGACAAATAGTGCAAATCAATTAAATACATTAATCACTATTAGATATTAAATTTTAATTTCTTCCACAAAAGAATTTTTCAAATAATATTATATAGTTCAAATAAATAAATAAAATAAATAAATTGTTGTTAATATTTTAATTTAAGGTAAATGTACTAATACAATAATCTTAAGTAGTTTTAGAAAATAAAAACTAACACAGCATTTAATGGCATAAAGATGTTTACGGTGCAAATAAAAGAAATTTAAAAACTGATTTTCTTTATCTCAAGTAGAAAGGTCATTCATTGTTGAAAATAAAAAATTAAAAAACAGTAGGCTTCACATAGCCAAATATTTTCTTTTTGACGGTTCTCATCGTGCATATGATAATAATAGAAGATAAAAAGAAATACCTTTCAGCTTCATCAATCTATCATAAGTCATGAGATTCAGGATGAAGTGAAAAACAATGTAGCTCGTATAACTTCTGGCTTGTCGCTAAAAAGCATCCTTGCACTTTGGAAAGTTGCCTGACCGTCAAATGGAATTAAATGCAAAACAGTTATACTCTGAACCAAAACCAAGCAGATTCAGCAAAAAAATAGCATAAAAACATATCAGGAGAGATGACATTGCTAACGTGAGATAACTTACCATCTTTAGTGAAAACCAGCACCAAATTTCAATCAAGTAATTGCAGACCATTTGTTGAAAACTCAGCTGTTAAAAAATAATTTCATATGAATCAGAAATTGCATTATCATTTCCAAAATAACATTACAATGTCATTAGATTAAATTTAACTGAACAATTTCAACAAAAGATGAGGAGACGTATAATCGATGCCAATGGTACAATGGTTAAACCGAAATTACATTCACAGAATAGATGCAAAACAACACCAACAAAATCAACCATTCGAAACATTTCATAACTAAAGAAAATGCACTTCATTCTATGACAAACAAACCATATTTCACATCGATATAAGCATAATGTTAAATGAAAAAATTTTCCAATTAATGATAGAAGGGGAAAACAAGCTTACAGCCACAATCTTCACTCTTTCAAGATATTGAATACGCAAATATGTTTCCTGCAATCAAACATTAAAAAGTTATATTTAAGTAAAGGAAGTAGCTGAACTTATGATTAGAACAAGCAAAGTGAAAATTATGTTGTTAGCATATTAATACACCATTTGTGGCGAGAATGTGAGGATCAAACATCTTAGAATCTGACCTTGACCAAGAACCAGAATTGCCTTGGCAGAAAGAGCTATAATGTGCTGAACTTTCTCACTAGTAAATATGACTTGAGCAGCTAGATAGATATAGCAATTTCGAGCCAATTAGCATCAATGATAAAGCAACAGAAATTAATATAAGAAAATGCACAATAAAACAACAGTGAAATCTTGTGTCAATTAAACGACGGTTAAAAAAAAAAAAGCAAGAAAAAGATCCTTGATCTCCGTCTTCTGCTTGGTATGTGGACAGAAGTGGGATGTATTACCAAGAAAAAGATCCTTGACCTATAAATAAGTGGACAGAAGTAAAGCATAATGAATAGTTTCTACAGGCAAATTACTACTAGTATGAGATGGGATGTATTACCAAGTTCAATAGAAATGTAATGGGGCTGTCAAAAAAGCTTGTCATTCATGAACAACTCGTGTTCAGCTTGCTAAGTAGCTCGTGCTAGATTTATTTGTTAAACAAATGTACTAAACATGAATAATTTTTTTAGCTCAATTTATAAATGAGTGGAACACGAATAAATTTTTGTTTGAGATTGTTCAGGGCATTTTGGCTAAAATTAATTAAAAATTTAAATAAATAATAATATTATTATAACATTTTATAATATTTTTTTATATTTTATATTTTAATAAATATTAAATTTGATTATTTTTTAAATCATTGGATCTAATTTCAAACAGAACACGAGCTTAAACGAACAAAAAAATTTGAATTGAGTCAAACAAAAACATACTATTCATGAGTCATTTCGAATACGTCAATTTCGAAAAAAAAATAATAATTCGAAATAGTCAAACTTGAATAAGCACTAGGCTTGCTCAAGCACGGCTCATTTACACCCCTACTTAGAGATACCTGAGAGTAGGGTATACTTTTCCTTTTTATCTTCTTTCTCACCATCTTTTTCAGAAGATTCAATATTGGCCATGGACATCATGTGTACCGAATATGCTCCATCGGATATGCAAACAAATTCGGGTCCTGAAACACGTTAGTGAACCAACCATAAAACCATACACGAGCTTAAAACTTGTGAAAACAAGGAGAAAGCACTACTTGCGGAAATGTCCGGAGGAACAGCCAACAATTGCACTTTTATCTTCACATCCAGACAGTACACATGAGCATACTTGGAAGAAGAATCAGCACAAACTTCTGACGCTGTAAAAGTACCATGCAGGGTCAGGAGATGTAAATCTCCAACAGAATCCAATATCAAAAACTGCTTCTGAGACAGCAAATGGATTGAAATTGCTTTTACTGATGCCAGAGCTCCGGTGTCGCTTTCAGAAATGACATTATTGCACTTAATTTTGATGAAAAATGAGCCAAGATCGCCAGAGTTCTGTCTCAATCTTACACACCTCAATTTACCTGGAAAGGCACCAAAAAATGATCAGCAATCTAGAAGGCTAGTCCTTTCGAGAATAAAGAAAAGTTAATATTGGACTACAAAATATAAACAGAAATATTCCTTATGAAGAATGGCATGTTCATATTTCTCATTTGAAAAAAGACAGAGCAACCCAGACACAAAATGTTAGCTTGAATTAATCACGGCACCCTAATAATCATTTCAAACAAATTTAAGGCCAAAACATATGGGAGAGAAAATTCCCATAAAAGAGAAAGGACAGATAGTCGCACAAAAAGGTCTCAGATATTCAGCCCCATTACTCTAGCTCAGCATAATAGTCAAAAGGTGTTTTTAAGTTATTCCCATCTTCTTAAGTATGATACTGGTGAAAAACGAAATAGCTAATAGAGACAGAAGAGAAGTCCATATGAAAAAGTATCTCTCATGCTCAATGTTCCTAAAAGTTGGAACACTTTTAGGCAAAGAAGTATGTGCTTCCCTATTGGTTGCATGCTTTTCAACAATATGGCTTGTATGGACTTGAGAAGCCCAATATTGAATCTTTCGAACATACAGATAGCACATCATGGTCCCCTCTGATTTCTTTCTGAATGTTCGGGTTTACTTGCCAGTATGCTGTACTACTCAGTAATCATCGCACAAAACTTACAAACACCCTTGCAAGCTGAAATATTTCTATCATTATAAGATTTTGCATGTGTGAGCATTGATATTTTGTCTGTGTGGGTTGTAAATCTAAGGTGTTTTCTTTCCTCTTAGAGATGGTTACACGACAACAATTGAAAAGAATTGATTATTTCATTCCAATGTTTGTGTAGTATGTATTTAAAAAAATTTTAAAAAGTGTGTAATATTCATATAATTCTAGGAGACTTTCTAATAAGAAACAAACAAAATCAAAAAACAATAATTACAATAGTCCAACAATTGATAAGTACGTAAAAGAGATATCATGGATTAATAGGGTCGAAGCAAAGAAAGAAAGAAAGAATGCCATAGTCATGTTGACTGTGGGCCCCAAATAACAAAAATTATGCAAATCTTTCGCACTACAAATTGAAAATTAGTACTTTAGGATTACAGATGAAAAAAAAATCCTAACAATCACTTCTTTCATCAGTTAGCAAGAAGCTTTCAAAGAGTACAACTTGCAAATTGTCGCATCTAAATTGATGTAAATCTCAAAATTTACGCATAAAAAAGCTAGACATGTGCAATGAGAAACAAATTAAAATATCTTTTTCATTTTAACAGTTTGAGTTATTTCTTTTAGTAGTAGTTTTAGTTTTCCTAACATTTTTCATGTTTTTTCTAGAATAAACCGCTAATGTCCCCTAATATGTGAAAAAGTTTTATTATCATATTTTATTATTGGAACAATTATTTCTCTGCACTTTGTGGCACTTAGGAGCTTTGCAATTGTTGTTTGTTATTGTATTGAAATCTTGTAATCGAATCTAGAGTCAATGGCTGCAATAGCCATGATCTGCTTGCCTAAATTTGCAATTATCCCTAGCATATTGTCGCTAGTGAGGTTATAGTGTTCTAGTGGTGTGTTGTCCCTATGAATGCTTTTGCAATGGATGTATTAGATGGATTTTCAGACGACTACTATAGGCATGCAAGATGTTGATAGATGGCTTTAGTGTATGTCCTACTATTGGAAGTTACAATTTATGTTGTCATTTCCTTTAGTGCGGCTTGTCCTTAGGATTTCCATCTATGGCAATGATATTTTTTTAGTGTAAATCTAATAGGATTTTAAGACAAGTTATTTTAGGAATATAAAAAGAGAATCAAGTACATCCAAAAAAATTTCTGTTTAGATGTGCAATTCCTTGTCTCTACTTCAACAAGTGAGAACCTCATGATTTCCAAGAGAGAGCATCTCCACGTACGAAAAAGAGAATTGATTTGATTATCTTCCTAGCTCTCTAATGGTCTGTTTGAGATAGCTTTCTCATTGCTTTTCTTTTTAGACTGTCATCACAATTATGTTTGGCGAATTGCTTTTTTAATTTTTTTTATAGTAGAAAGTTGTTTTTCTCAATCTGGGTTGTTAAAGTGTGGTAATTGTCAGAAAGCTGCATTCTGATTTTTTTTAAATAATATAAATTTGCAATAGCCACCGCACCTTTTTGAAAAGCAGTTTCTTCTACAATAACTTCACAACCGCACCTTTTTGAAAAACAGTTTCTTCTACAATAACTTCACAGTTACTTTTTCAAACAGCTGCAGCTACCCTAAACAAACCCTAGATGTTAATGTGGTTTGCATTTGTGATTAATTCTCATAAAATTTAATAAACTAAGTGCGAACCAATAAACGACCATCCTGGTACGTAACTCGGTCATCTATTCTCTCCTTAGTGAGCATCGATCACCCACCCTTCTATTGGGAATACAACAATCAAGCATCAACGACAGAGTTGACCGCTAGATTGACCCTCTAGATTGGTTAAATCAGCACCAGAAGCCAACTTAACAAGCCAAACCCAACAAACGAGTACCATCTTATCAGGTTTACCAAATGACGAGTTGACCTATCAAATTCATAGGTCGAATATCTCTTAGCTCACTGATTATCAGCTACCTATATGTCTATGTTTATTTATGAGTCATTTGATATCCGCATCATCACAATGTACCATCGACATGTGTTGAAAAACATCGCATTGTACTAAAATATTTTAATATATTTTCTTTGCAACTCAACGGGGAAGAGAGTTTATCTCGAGACCTACAAATAGAGATGATCTCCTTCCTATGAATGGAGGGCTTTCTCTTGATTCCTCATTCTTCTTCCCCTAGAATAAAAGACTGATTCAATCTCTTAATGGAGTCATTGTGCATTCCATCCTCTTGAGCTTCCTTTACAAGTTTGAACGTGAGCCCAGGAATGATTAAAGGCCCAATGTCCTAAAAATATTCAACATCCTAAAAGGTGCGATAAGCATGGAGTTTATACCCAAATCCAGATATAGACTTCGTGTGAAGGGAAAACAATAAGGGTGAAAAATGGATTGCACTAGGGAGTCATTGATGTAACAGATAAATGAACTGAAGTACTGAATGGCAACGATGATACAAGAGATGTGAGAAATTACCTCTAGAACCCACCATAAGACTCATACAGAGTCCTCAGGATCCGTGGTTTGCAAACGAAAACTACTAAGAGTAAAGCCAAGAAGAGCCTTCTTGTCAATGCTTGAAGAGGAAGCTGATGAAACATACATCTCAAAGGATGAAGGATCCACATCTTTGAACAAGAAAGCAGAGAGGAAAAGAGAAAAGAAAAAGAAGTATAAGCTATATATGAATATTTTCTTAAGAGAAATGGCAGAAGCTAAAACACCAATGAAGTTTATGATCACAATGTTGGAGTCTGAAGAATAGATTCAGCTGACCATGTAACTTCATTTGAGTCCGTCGCATGCTTGTTACGTGTAAATGATACTCTGAAGTGTCAATTATTCTTCATGATGTCAAAAGAATCAGATCTTGTTGGTTCAACAACTTGATTGTATGAGTCATCATATCATTAAGTAAATGTTCGTGGTTCAATTTTCCAACACCCAGAAGCCACAAAAGAATTTTCACACCCTTCTGAAAATTGATCAAGAAACTTGTATAAAAGTTTGAGAAGCTTCATCACCAGATTTCAACAAGAAATGTTGAATACGAGAGATTTGGAACTAGCAGTCGCTCATATAGTACTAGTTAAAGCCTTACAAGAAGGACCATTCAGGTATGTCCTTGGTTTTCAAAAACAAAAAACTTTGCTCGAACCTTGGAATTGGTCGACAACTACGTATTGACCAAATAATACAATTTTTTATTGAATTCTTCTAGAACTGAAAACCAAAAAGCCAATTTAAGAGACGACATCCAAAAGACATGAAAGAGCGAAGAGATCGATCGGCTCAGAGGGAATCACAAGTAGTCCCTAAAAGTCGAATTCATAGGTTGGAGCATGACTACATTGATCACGGACTAATCAGTAAAATATCGATAAAAAGGACAAAACCACCTCGACATCATCATCAGAAGTAACTTTGTTGATAGTTTCTATGAGTGAGATTGTCGAAGCCATCCAAAATAAAGAATTCTTTAAGAAGTCTGTGCCGATGCGAGCGGGAGCTTTTACCTGCATGATCCAAATAAATAATGTGCTTACCAAAAGTGGACACAATACAGCGGGCTTTCAAAATGATAGAAGCTTTGATCAAAGAGTTGATCAAAGCCAGGAAGCTTAAGAAGTTTGTGGCCCGATATGCAAATACCAGACGATAATGAAAGGAGCCCGCAAAAGAAGAGAATATCGAAACAGTCCCGGCAAGAGACATGCATATTTCTGCAGTAGTCCCAGCCATTCCATGAGAAGACAGACCTAAAGCTTCAGGCCGATCCAACCTCAAGCAGTAAAGGGTGGGAAATGTCAACTAGGTTACCCTTGCAAGGTCAGCCATTACAACCCATCTCCACATTAATTTTACAGAAATTGATTTTTCCACTAGTGAAAATCCTTTTAATGAAGTTATAGTGGTCAGTGTCTTGATCGCAAAGTATCAAATCAAGAGCATTCTCAAAGGCACGGATAGTACAGTCAAAATTCTATTTAAAAACCTTCAAGAATATAAACATGGAGAATGCTTTCTATGGGGGAGGAAGAAAACTTACGGGATGAATTCTTTACCAGAGACCTCGGCAGAGGTAGAAAGACAATTCACAAAATTGATAGATTTTATTGTAGTGGACGCCCTTACCACCTACAATGCCATCCTCAACAAGACAGTGTTGAACATCTTTAAGGTCATTGTCTCAACATTTCATGTGGTAGTAAAGGTCCACATAGGGGGACAAATTATTATCATCCAAGGAGACCTTGTGTTGTTTTGGACCAATTACCTCTGAGCTATAGAAAGTGTACAAGAGGATACCCTGTAGTTTGATGTACATAAAGGAACTAGCCTTGAAGCAACTGAGACTGTGAAGAAGGCACCCATTTTCGAGGATGTCAAAGATAAAACCTTCCATATTAACTTTAATTTCAGCAATGAATATAAAGATCATCTGATCGCAGACTTAAGAGAGCAGCAAGATGTATTCTCCAGGATAGCTTATAAGATGTTGAGAGTAAATGTTGATGTAGCTTACCACTGACTCAACATCAAACTAGGAGTAAGAGCAATCAAGTAAAAGATGAAACTTCTGGCAACCACTTTATAACTAAGCCCATTCGAAAAGAGGTCAAGAAGATGTTAGATGTTAATTTCAATAGAGAAGTACAATATTTAGATTGGTTGGTGAACGTTGTGATGGTCTGAAAAGCAAATAACAGATGAAAAATGTGTGCTAACTTCACTAACTTGTACTCAGCATATCTGAAGAACAGTTACTCTTTACTGCGAATTGACGCACCGATCAATTTCACAATAAGATATTCAACAATGAGCTTTTTAGATGTTTTCTCAAGATATTACTAGATTAAGATGCACCCCACATATTGAGAAAACCATCTTCATCAATAAATAAGGAGTGTATTGTTATAATATAACACCCTTCGGTCTAAAATGCCAAAGTGACATACCAAAGATTGATAGAAATAACTTTTGTCAATAAAAAGGAAGGAATGTTACAATCTATATACCTCTTGAAGAAAGAATTTTTATTAGAGGAGATTTAAATGGACATGTTGGTAGAGTGGTTGAAGATTTAAAAAATATTCATGTTGGCTACGGTTTTGGAGTGACTAATGAAAAAGATAGTCATTTTAGATTTTGCTTTAGCATATGATTTTATTATTACTAATAATTTATTCAAGAAAAGAGATAAGTATATTATTACTTATAAGAATGGATCAAATAAAACACAAATTGATTATTTTCTTATGAGAAGAAGAAATCGTCAAGATTATAAAGATTATAAGGTCATTCCAAGTGAGAATTTCAGTACCCAACATCGATTATTAGTTCTAGATTTTAAAATGAAGAGTTGTAAAATAAAAAATACCAGGACTCATCATTCCAGAATTAGATGGAGGAACCTAAAAGACACAAATAAAATTATTTTTATAGTAAAATTCAAAATTTCAAAATTTAGATGTTCATGAAGAAACAAATGTTATGTGGGATAAAGTAACAAATATTATTAAACAAGTAGCAAAAGATGTACTTGGAGAATCAAAAAGAAAAATTTTTATAAATAAAAATAATTGGTGGTAATAATGTGCAAGAGAAAATAAAATATAAGAAGTTATGCTATAAAAATTGATTTAAATGTAAAAATTTAAAGAATTGAGAAAAATATCAAACAGAGAGGGTCTAAAAGAACAACCTGTGACACTAAAAGTTATGATTTTAGTGATTTTTATATAGATTAGATACTAAGGAGCGTGAAAAATATATGTATAAACTAGCCAAACAAAGAGATAAAAAAATAAAGATTTAACTCAATTAAAATGTATTAAAAAAGATAATAAAAAAATACTTTTCTTAGAAAAAGATATTCAACATAGGTGGGTGAGTTATTTTAATAAACTTTTTAATGAATTTTTTTAAAATATGATCGACCTTAGTGATCTTAATATATTTAATAATAATAAAATGTTCATTTTTATCGTCGCATTAGTAAAAAGGAAGTTGAAGAGGCTTTAACGAAAATCAAGGTTGGAAAGTTTGTCGGACCTAATGATATCCCAATTGAAGTATTGAAATGTTTAGGAGATTTGGGAGTTTCATGGCTTACTAAACTCTTTAATATTATTTTAAAAACTAAAAAGATGCCTGAGGAGTGGAAAAAGAGTATTTTGGTCCCCATTTTTAAGAATAAAGGGAGTACGACAAGAGTTTGCAAATTATAGTGGAATTAAGTTGTGTCATACTTTAAAATTATGGGAGAGGGTAATTGAACATAGGTTAAGATGTATTACAAAAATTTCTCTTAATCAATTTGGATTTATGTCAAGCAGGTCTACTATGGAATCTATATATTTATTGAGGTTTGATGGAGAAGTTCATAGATAATAAGGAGGATCTACATTTGATTTTTATTGATTTAAAAAAATCTTACGATAAGGTTCCAAGAGATATCCTTTGGAGAGTTTTTGATAAGAAAAGTGTTGACATGACTTATATTCAAGTCATTAAAGATATGTATGCTAGAGTTGTTACTTGTGTTCGAACTGAAGGAGGTTTAACCAAATATTTTCGTATTTATGTTAGATTACATCAGGGGTCGGCTTTAAGCCCATATCGTTTTGCTTTAGTTATAGATGGTCTTACTGGACATTTACATGAGGATGTACCTTGGTGTATGATTTTTGTTGATGATATCCTTCTCGTGGATAAGATGAGAAAAAAAAGCCCAGGAAAAACTTGAATTATGGATGTTTGCATTGAAGTCTAAAGGTCTTCATTTGAGTAGAACTAAAACTGAATACACGGAATGTAATTTTAGTAGTAGTTCTAGTGACAACTGTGTAACTTTGGGTGATCAAATTATTAAAAGGTGTGAACGATTTAGATATCCCAGGTCTGTTGTTCAAAGTGATTGTGATATAGATGGAGATGTTAATAGTAGAATTCAAGTTGGTTGGTTGAAGTGAAGGAATGCTTCGAGCCTTTTGTGTGATAGGAAAGTACCGCTTAAACTGAAAGGAAAATTTTATAAGAGGGTGGTGAGACTTGCGATGCTCTATGGCGCTGAATGTTGGCCTTTAAAAGAGAAGCATAATA